TTCTTTCTTTCTTTCTTTCTTTCTTTCTTTCTTTCTTTCTTTCTTTCGTTTTTGTTTACACAAGTTTTATTTTATTAACTTTTTAAAATATCTTTTGTTTTTGAATAATCTTCATTTCCCAACATATATTTTTCTCTCCAAGAGCCATCCATTATAACAAACAATGAAAAAAAAAGAGAGGGGAAAAACATTTAGTTGAGCAAAACTAACAGTAATCAAGCCTGACTTTATATGATGTATTCCATACCCATAGTACCCCAGCCCTGCAAAGAGCAAAGAGAGGTTCACTTTCATATCTCTTCTTCAGGGTCAAGTGTGTTCGTTATAATTATATAGTGTTTGACAACCTGGTTTTCTAAAATTTGCACAAAGTGGGAGAATGAGTCAGATGTAGATTTTTATAACTTCTGTGGCAGCTGGCCCATACTACCCATCACGTCAAAGTATTTTTTTTAGACCTCCCCTTATCAATTAATTACATTTTCCTTCACATCAGTGTTATATTTATACATCTGTACCCTCATTAGATTGTAAACTCCCTGAAAGCAGGTTTTCTTTCATTTTTATCTTTGTATTTAACACAGTTGGCAATTATTAAATGTTTGTCAAGCTCCTCAACTCTTTTTTCAGCTTTTATTTAGTATTTTATTTTTCCCCAGATACATGTAAAATTTTTTTTAACATTCATTTTTAAAACTTTGAGTTTTAAATTTTCTCCCTTCCTCTCTCTCCAGGGCCCCTTCTTCCCCTCACATTGAGAAGGCAAGCAATTCAATATAGGTTATACATGTGTAGTCATGCAAAACATATCTGTGATAGTCATGTTGTGAAAGAAAACATAGATGAAATAAAAACTTCAGAAAAATAAAGAAAGTAAAAAAAAGTATGCGTCAATCTGTATTCAGACACCATCAGTTCTTTCTCTGGAGATGAATAGCATTTTTCATCCTAAGTCCTTCAGAGTTGTCTCGAATCATTGTATTGCTGAGAAATGCTAAGTCATTCACATCTGATCATCTTATAATATTGCTGTTACTTTGTACATAGTACATTTCACTTTGCATCAACCCATGCAAGTGTTTCCAGGTTTTTCTGAGAGCATCCTGCTCATCATTTCTTATAGTACAATAATATTCCATCATTATCACATACCACAACTTGTTCAGCCATTCCCCAACTGATGGGCTTCCCCTCAACTTCTAATTCTTTACCCCTAGAAAAGAGCTGCTACAAATACTTTTGTACATACACATCCTTTCTTTTCCTTTTTGTTTTTCATCTCTTTGGGGTACAGATCTAGTAGTGGTATTGCTAGGTCAAAGGGTATGCATGGTTTTATAGCCCTTCAGCATAGTTCCAAATTGCTCTCCAGAATGGTTGAATCACAAACTACTCAACTCTAATTCAAACTCCTAACTCTAAGTACCACAGGACTTCAAGGAAAGGATACGTCTTAATGGGGTATGATGTAGTCTTAGAGGAGATGGGATTTGGAACCCAAAAGGAAGGAGAGAAAAGTTGTCCAACTGGAGTTTTGGAGAGAGTGTGGTATAGTGAGTAGAATTCTGGGTGTGGAGTCAGGAATACCTGAGCTCAAGTCCTGCCTTTGGCAGTATGTGACTGAGGGCAAGTTATTTTAGCCTCTCGCCAAGGCTGTGTACCCATGTGCGTGGTGCACTGGGAAAAATAATAATAATGATAATATGGTTCAGTTACGTCTGATTCTCCATGACCCCATTTGGGATCTTCTTTTTTTGTGTTGTATGTGTGATTTTATTTTATTTTTAAAATTTTTCTTTTATTAATACATTTATTTATTTTTAGTTTTCAACATTTACTTCCACAAGATTTTGAGTTCCAAATTTTCTCCCCATCTCGCCCCTCCCCACTCCAAGATAGTACGCATTCTGAATACCCCTTCCCCAAGTCTGCCTTCCCTTCTATCTCTCCCCCCTTCTCTTAACCCCTTCCCCTTCTATTTTCCTGTAGGGCAGGATAGATTTTTATACCCTATTTCCTGTATTTCTTATTTCTCAGTTGCATGTGAAAACTTTTTTTCAACGTGTTTTTAAAACTTTGGGTTCCAAATTTTCTCCCTTCCTCCCTCCCCACCCACCCTCATTGAAAAGGCAAGCAACTCAATATAAGTTATACATGTGCAGTCATGCAAAACACTTCCATAGTAGACATGCTGTGAAAAACTAACTCTATTTCCCTTAATCCTATCCCACCCACCCATTTATTCTATTCTTGCTTTTGACCCTGTCCCTCCTCAGAAGTGCTTGCTTCTGATTACCCCCTTTCCCAATCTGCCCTCCTCTCTATCATCCCCCTACTCTCCTGTCCCCTTCTCCCCCTATTTCCCTGTAGGGTAAGACAGATTTCCATACCCAATTGAGTGAGTATGTTATTCCCTCCTTAAGTTAAATCCTATGAGAATAAGATTCACTCATTTCCTCTCACCTTCCCCATTTCCCCTCTACTGTAAGAGCCTTTTCTTTTCTGTTTTTTTTTTTGTGAGATGG